TAAACATTAATTGTTTTTTGCTGTAATGTGGGAAATGCAGAGGGATGAGAAAGACTGTCACTGTCACTGTAAAACCTTAAGAGTTTATATAACTGAGTGTAAAAATCTGTACTGTGTCAGTGTTAACATAGTCCCGCGTCCATCAAAGTTCACTCAGCACATTCGCGTTGTTCTGATCACCTGCCTCAAAGTCACATTATCTGAATGAGCCGGCCATGCAAAGCCACAATCAACACCTCTCAGCCTGCGCTACTGGAACTGCCACTTTATAGTGTAAAGTTGAACATGCAGCAGCTGTTGTGTGTGTAGGAACAGAAACATCTGAGCACCGCTGTCCTCTTTTATTGTGTGGTGAGTGCGAGCCTATTCATTTGACCTAGATTTACATGAGAGAATCTTTTAGGTAGCACCGGCTCTTTCTGCCTCTAATCAGTGTGTGTACCCTCTGCAGGGGTCTTCTGTGTGTTTGTGGCACACAGAGTGGACACCCACACTAAAGCTATGCGTTAGCCTAACAAATGTAACCCCGTTTGAGTCAGAGAAGATAAATTCAGATCAATAAAGAGACTCAGACGATGTACGGATGTTTTCTCAGCAGCAGATTCTGCTGGTGACAAGGAAGAATGATGGCTAATGTGTTCGCTTTTAATGTTTTTCAGCTTATCGGCCTGCAAGAGGAGAGGAAACTGATGCACTTTCTCTGAGAATAGATTCTGGTAGACAGTTTGAATTTTCCTAAATTCCTAAACTTGACTAACTCTACAACTCTTTGTGATTCTTTATCCCAAAAGCGGAGCACATCTGCGTTCATTTTTTAAACAAAAGCTATTGTTAACCTATTTGTCTTGACAAAACTACCATTAAAAATGTATAAAAAACTAGAAACAACAACGAAATGTATTACATTTTCCATCTCATTCAACAACTTCACACACTGTCGCACAAAAATATCTCCCATTCATAGGTTTAATTAGCTGCTCTACCTGCAGTGTGAGGGGAGTTACAATGCCTGATTTATTGAACAATCAATAACCTGTCTAAAGATCTGTTATGAACTGTAATGAACCGCAGTCTTGATTCTGTGATGGAAATAATAATAATAATAATTGTTTGGGCCTTTAATCAATAGCGACAGCTGTAGAGTGAAAGGAAAGAGGAGAGAGGGGACGACATGCAGCTAAGGGCCACAGGTCAAACCTGTGGCCGCTGCAGCAAGGACTCAGCCAAGGTAGATTAAACTGAAATTTGACTGTTATGTCTGTGACAAAACAGCACTAATGAAGTACTGCTGTGCTGCAGAAATGCTCTGAACTACAAATCTTTTTTTAGTGAAAATGAATTTATGATGAAAAACTGGATAATTGTGTGTAATCGTAAGTCATATTGCAATATGTTTTTACTATATATCGTGCAGCCAACTGTGACTTGTCTTGCTTTCCCTTCAAAGCAGAAATAAACATCTATTTTAAACCATTCTAAGAGCGCAGCCATAGTGTTCAAAGAAAACTTTACTGGAACTGTGGATGGACAAAACCAATCAGAAGTTCTGTGTTTACATCCACACCGTGACCAGTCGTCTGATACGTACAGTCTGAGTGCACTAAAGGTCATTAGAAAGGACATAACATAGCATAAAAGACTAAAATGCACAGCTTCTGCCCATCTGTATGCAACAGGGAGGAAACTAGCGAGCTGTGCTTAACAGATGATCATGACACCAAACCATCTCAGCAGTAAAATGCCAGGAGGCGTTTTGGATTCACACCACTGATGGAAAACGTGGATAAAGATAAACTGGCTTTTAAAAATGACATTGCCTTACAGTGACAAATGTGAAATCACTGCATGGATGCAGTATGAGAACTGGATCCCGGACCTTTATTTTAATAGAAAATTACTCACCCAGCACATGAGCTTAAGTTTTTATGCTTCCTGGTTTCACATCACAAGTTTTGTGCAAATAAAATTAAAAATGCATGATACAAAAAGTGATAATTGAGCAGTTACACAGACATCTCTTTTAAATTGGTGATGTATGAGGAAAATACTTTTTTGGTTCTCATTAAAAAAAGTTTTTTTAATAGACTTTGTGTATAAGTGATAGCCCTGTTACAGATATCAGAGTTTGTATTATTTTATATATTTTATGTAGTTTTTTATGTTCAGTAGCAATTAATGAGCAACATTTCATACCTAGAATATGTGACAACAAACAACTTTGCCAGTGCCCAGGAAGTGAACAGGCAACTCTTCAGCTGCTAGTCCACACCCCCAACCGTGGTCCTAACCCAAGTCCCTATGGACTGAGGTACTGTATGACGACTGAGTAAACTCCACCTGCTGATGAAGGCCACCAGTTGTAGCTGAAAGCTCGGGGACACACAACCATGTCAGCGGATCTTGAGATAAAAAATGTTTTGTCATGCATACAGTTAATTTTCCAATTTACCAAAGTACCTTCCAAAACTACTGTATTAACGCGGCCATTACACACAAAGTTTGGTATCTAGAAGTAGGCTACCCACTCAATGGCAGCTGGATTGACTGTTTAAGTCTTTGACTTTGACTTGTGCTCTTCCAGATATCTTCCAGATCTCTAAATGTCTCTTTATTGCCTCTCTCTGGTAGCTGCTGGCGCCATTCAAAGAGAAGCTTTGCACTGATAGTTAATTCTCATGCAGCACCCTGCCGGGAACGCTGTTTGTTTCGACGATGGACCCTGACCGACTAATTTCTTGTTTAGTTAATCATGCGATACATAATCAGAATTACCCTAAGCTCTGTGAGTTATTCTGTGAAAAGGGATATAGCTGGCTCGCGAGCAAACACCAGCTTACACCAGAGCCAAGATGGTTCCCGTCTCATTATAAACCAGCCGTCACTGAACACAATCAGCTGAGGACATGACAATATTTTAATAGCCGGGGCCGAAGAGAAAGGCATTTTTACAAGAGGGGGGTGAGGTTGGCACGCTAACCTAACTCTACATCCAGACAGCTGGGAGCCAAGTCACCTTTTCATTGTCCTCAGGCCAGTTTGAGCTATCTGATGGGCAGCGGTAATGTGTAAGAGTGAGAGAGACACACTGGATGGTACAGCCAGAATGTGATTTATTGCTTTCCAGTGGTTATAACAGTTTAAAAATGTTCAGCATCTGTCTCAGATCATAAAAATGAAAGGATCCTGCAGGCAGCTAAGTATTAACAGATTTATTTTAGAGTTTAGTAACCAATTAGCTACGGATCTTCTCATGTAAAGCCAATGAGCTGCTCAGTTTCATCAATACCAGCTGGCTCTACTTTGCTCATGTGAAGTCGGACAGACGGGCAACACAGTTTTGCGCCGTAGCTTCTTATTCACTAAACATGACGTTTCTGACAGGCAGGACTGGGTTGTTCTCTTTTTTTTTTTTGACAGGCTTAGCTGCTGTCAGGAATGTGAAAAGAAATCCATCATGAAAATGAATAAATCCCTCCCATCTTCAGAACTGGAAGCGGCAGAAGTTGCTTGTCAGTGAGCCGCAAAACTGAATTCATTTGTTGTTTCATTTAGCATTCACTCCAAATCAAAGGATGGCAGATATAATGTCACACCACAGATTTTAAGCCAGGTGTCCTCTGTATTGTTGAAGGACAGCATACACACTTTCTAAGTAATTTCAGCATTCAAAAGTAAGTTAAAGATGGATGTAATGTTCCTGTTTTGTCTTTTCCAGTGAAAACCTGAAAGAAGCAAACAAATCCTGACATAAAAGACACGAGCTGTAACAATCTCTGATTTCCACAATGGAGAAAAGCCAACAACTGGTAAGAAATGATGCAGCAGCACAGCTGACAGGAACAAGATTGGCCAAGTCAGAAGAGCCTATGGGCTTCTTTGAGCCTGAATGATGCCGAATATGTGTTCGTAAGAGACAGGAAAATTAATACGATTTAACACATCTTGTCAATATTTTTGTGTTTGCTTGTGATTATGTGAGGTAATAGCATCCAGCTGGAAAACGGCTCCCAGTTTTGGCTCCAAATGAGATGTTTATGGTCCAAGTTATTCCGCCAAATTAATTGAAATTTGATCAGTTTGTCATTACACTAATTGCTAACGACATGCATGCAAGCCAGTAAAAAGCCAAAACTGAGTGCAGGACTTTGAACCTGTGTGACCATTATGTTCATGAAGTGACGCATATCCAACATGTGACAGCTGGGATTTCTTGTCTAGAATTTTTAAAATGACATCTCTCTCTTATCAGGTAGTCTCATATGCTTTTATGTTATTTTTAATCTCACAAGGGGCTATAACCATCAAAAGAAATCAAAAAAAGCAACAACATTTGACTTCCTTGAAATTTCAGAGCATTCAACCATGCAACAACATTATGCCCTCTTAAGATGAAAAGTACTCTGCTGCGTGCTTAAAAGGGGACCTCTGCTAAAACCACAAGCAGCAGCAGCAGCCACAGCAATAAAAATTACATATTTCATGAATTGTCAGCGTGCTTGTTCCTTCATTTGAATTCAAAATTTTGCTGGAGGAAGAAGGGAAGAGGAGGAGGGGGGGGGGTCTGGTCTTTTCAGATGGACACATCTTAGGCATCTGAGCAGGCTAATAGCTTCTCCTAACTGCCAATAATATGAATCTGAGTAATGCATTTGAATACATTTACACTCACTCAGGTTATAATGCAAAGTGAAATCTGCTGTTAATGCAGCTTGTGTTAAAGGTCATACAGGTACAGTACATACAGTACTTTCTTTATTTATTGTATTTCATTGCCTCAATTCATCACAGTTAACCCTTAAAACCCACACCAGCTTGTCCTGTGTGGAATAAGTTGGTTAAAAGAGGAATTGTTACTTTCTAACTGGTTTTTCTTTATAAATGTCGTTACAAGTAGGCTATATATTTACCCCTTTACATAATTCTAACAAACTGCAGTGGACTCTGGTTTCACTCACAGACTTCCACTTCCAGCAGCCCGTCCTGTCAATTAATTAGCTTACCTTGAAAGATCCATATTAACATCAGTATGGCTCGGAGTCTTCTCTTTATCTCCATGGCCCAACATCCACCGGCAAGCTCCAGCAGACGAGGAGCTTTTTTTCTTTTTAAAGTTGACGCCGAACACTCTCTTCGCTCCTCAACTGCTGCTTAATTGTCTCCAAGTAGCAATTAACAGAAAGCAGCGAGGCAGCTCCTGCGAATAAAGCCCGCTCTCCTCTCCCCATCCCGCCTACAAACTGCGGCTGACATCGCGGAGCGCACCGGCGGCTCCTCTCGCCTCCTACTTTACAAACCACGGGGAAACAATTCAGGTTTTCTTTTTTCTTTTTCTGCCGTTTTTCATATGTTGAATCCACTTCTGCTGCTCGTCTGTGGGGCTCCTTCAGTGTGTCGCTCCTTGCTGTGTGCAGCTCACACATTAGTACAGTAAACTGTAGGAGCTTATTCACCTGCCGGAGCTGCTCGGTGTCGCCCCCTGGCATCAGAACCTCAACTGCACCTCGTTGCTCAATAAATATCTACAGTGGCCTTTATTAGGCTGGTAAACAGTGTATATGATGACTTTTTATCTTTTTTAATAGACATAGACCTAAAATAAAATTAAAGTTTATCACCCACCACTTTCTTTTGCACAGTTTATCATATATTTAACTCAGGTTATACATAATACTTATTCATATGTACACATATGCACAACAGTCTCGATATATAAACATATTTCATTTAAATTATACTTAAGGTATATACCGCAATTTTATTTATTTACACTGTGCAACTACCTCCTGCTGTGTGATTTCATTCATCTTTCAAGACACACACACACACACACACACACACACACACACACAATATGTATTTAATAATGTGTGCAGTTGATGATGATCCATCAAACATATGATATAAAGAGGATGTATATAATGCATATCATAATTATTTTCTTTTTCTATTATATCTTTCTTTCTTTTCTTTTCTTTTTTTTTCTAGCACTCTTTTTGTGTTGTGATGTATCTGAAGCTGATGTAACAAGCGAATGTCCCTTCTTTCATCTCATCTCGTCTTATCTTATAGGCACTGGTGCAGTGGCAGTGGGTGTGCCAACAAAGTGGCATCTTTCTCTTATTTCTTTACATTTTTGGCTCCTTTTTTGCCATGCTGTTTTATGGCATTTATACTGACATCAGTTGAAAAGCAGGATGTATGTATTGTAAAGCTATGTACTATGTTACAATGTGTAAAACCACAATAAACTGGGAGTTTGCATGTCCTCCTCATGTTTGCATGGGTTCCTTCCAGTTTGTTATACAGTCTGGCAGGATAGCAACGTCCAAATCACTCATAGGTGTGTGTGAATTGTTGTCTGTTTACGTGTTTCCCTCTTTGATTGAGTGGTTCCATTCCCTCTATGTGACCCTGGAGAACACTTCTACATCACTGCAACAAGGTGACAAGTTAAACCCCTGGTTAGCTTTACAAGATTTTCAGGGGGTCTTAAGTCACTCTTTTAAAAGGTCCAGTGTGTAACATTAAGCATTAACATTTTTTGCCATGTTAAACTGCAATGTTTCTACAGTAACACACAAGGGACAAACCAAACACTGGCTCTAGATTGGGCCACTGTAGTTTCTCCTACAAGCTTGAAAGGGGAGAGTGTTGCAATACTACACACTGGTCCTTTAAACTTATAATTTTTTCTTTTTTTTCAGACCATCATTACCTTCATCAATTTTTAACAACAAAATAAAGATGTGAACCCAAATGCAAGACTTCTAATTTTTTATTTGCTTGATTGGAGGATAAGCAGAGCAGAGCACTTTTTTCTATCTTGAAAATTCTTGAAATTCCTTCAATTTCTGTAAGAAAATTAGCAGCCCGTTTACCCATGGCTTATAAAGCTTTGAGTATTTAAAGTATTACATCTATTTTATCTGGAAACATTGAAAGAATGAAAACTCCTCCAGAACAACTCTCAAATACACTTAATACTGTAAAATGTAACGTCAACTCAATTATCATGCATTAACTGATATATTATAAAGTCTAATTCAGAGCAGAATCAAGAGTCACTGGTAAAAGTCTCACAAGAACACACTGTGCAGCCACTTATACAAGAGAACCGGAGCTGCTGTGGGATTTTACATAGAAATGTAAGTCTAAGGGTCCCAGCTCAGCTCACAATAAATGGGTTGTCAGGTGAAATATTAATGTAGGTGGGTCGATGTGTTGTATTTTTAATGGAATATAATGGATTTATTACATGATATTAAGCTTCACATGTTTTCTGAGAGCCTTGCACTGGAGGTTTGCAATTAAACACGCATGAAGCCACCAACCCTCATTCAGTCAAATGAAGACGGATATAAAGATCCTGTGTTGTTTTTTTAATCTGCTTCTATAGAGTTACTGTCTGACAGGAGGCAGTTACACGTCTGACTTATTTATGTTGCTTTCATATTGTGGAACCTGCTGTCCCCTGTCTTCTTCTATTGTTGTTTTAAGATTAGACCTGGTTAAATTTTTACTGAAAATAAACATGACTCACTCTCAGTCTAACGAGACTTTTTATGAATTAAACTGCACTTGAAACATGCCAAAATACCAATATATGTGGGAACAAACTGCACATTTTGATAATGCTCCATATTACAACCTGTAAATTACATATAAGGACATTAATAAAATAATTATCTAGTGCTGATACTGTGACAAATATGTTAGTACAAGAAGACAAGATCTAAGGGAATAACAACTTTGTGATTAAGAGGAAATTACACAGTGCTGCATGTATTGTTTTAATTACTGAGAACCTAATTGTCCTATTAAATTACTGGGTAACAAGGCAGGAAAAATGGGGGAAAACATTTTTATGCTTTTTTATTTACAAAAACAATCCCTTGAAACATCCGGTTTCTAGTTTATCGAGTCCACATAGCTAAAACTAATCCAGTCTAATACGACCTGCATAAACTCTTACATTAGATAAAGATGTGGACCCAAATGCAAGACACAGATTCAGACTTATGATGACGTTTGGTAGATTTTTATTGAAGATGGTGATGATGAGGAGAGGGTGGAGGGTTTGGCTTACTAGCAGTGGCTGGTGAAGAGCTGATGGATGCCTGGCTGGCAGGCGGGCAGGTTTAAACCTAAAGCACCAGAGTAGCGATTAGACAGGACTACAACATAGGAAACTGTAAAACTACAAAAAAATTTAACTCTGCGACAGCAAGGTACTTGACTCCACTGTAGTAGACTGAGATATACTGTTGGGTTGATTGGAGGCAGGTGAGCAGACTGAGAGAGTTGACGAGTCGATTGCAGATGGAAAACCACAACACACAGACACAGACAGGAGACACAGGGGAGGGGGAAACACAAGAAAACACAAGGAAAAGGCTAGGGTACCGCCATGGCCAAAACAAACTCTACCTTCATTATTGATATAAATAAACATGTCTTTCTCTCTGCAACAGCTCAACAGCACCACAAACTACTGCCTCCAAAATAATCATGGAATTGAATCAACGCCTCTCTAAACAGAATAACCTTCATGAATGTGAGATTTATTGCCGGTTGCATTAGACTGCATTCATTTTAGCTGGGTGGCAACTGCATGTAAGTCTTAAAACACTTAATAGCATCAACTACATCATGCTGTATGGAAGCAGGAGATGTGTATGCATGGAAATAATATGGGATATGGTGGAAATACTGTTTATCCCTTTTGTACTAATTATGAAAGTGCAGTCGACTAACTCTTGAAAATACAGCTATATGTTTAACCGTCTAACCTTCTGTATTTAATCAAGTCATATCTTGTATCAAAATATGACTTTTATCATGTCTATAATTGGGTGGGTTTGTGTCAAAAATGTGTAAATCTTGGACACTACTACTACACTACATTAGAAATTTGATGTCACTGCCATGTGTGAATAATTGATTGCTTAAGTGCGAAGGAAGCACTAATATGAAACTGCACTGCTTGCAAGTTCAGACCTTTCCAGCCCTGTTCCCCTTCAATGAGCTACATTTTCAGTGGGTCAGGTAGATTTCAGAAATGACTTCAGCAGAAATGTTACTGACTACTCCACCACCTGTGCTTTCATGCAGTGTGCACCTGATTTACGACTGCACAAAAGACACTGACATGACAGAATCTAATCTTCATTGGTTGGCATTTGGTTGGGGAAATGTATCTGTGGTGGATTTCTTCACTATCTTTCTGATTTGTGTCACTTTCAGCGGCTATCTATGTGAGGAAAACACTCCCCGTCGTCTTCCTGAATACACCCATTGTTGAAGTTGGCGGATATGCTGCTATCTCGCTGCCAGATGGTGGAAGATGAGCCTTGACAGTCTACTCCTATTTCTTTGTAGAGACCATTTCTGGTTTTCCAACCAAGTGCAAAGAGTTCAGATTGATTGATTCTTTTGTGCCATCTAGTGGTCTACACCTGCAGCAACGGTGAAGTCTCTGTGTCTTTATTCATCACCTCTACCTGCTTTTTAAAATTATTTTTAGGGGTTGGCGGGGGAGTAGCTGTGGGTTGGCTGCAGGTAAACAACAGTGAACAGGTCAGCAGTCCCTCGCAGGGCTAATACAGATTGACAGACAATCATTCACACTCATGCTTGCGTAACTGTTGGCAGCTTCACTCCTGACCTGTGTGTCTTTGGACAGAGGAAGGAAACACCCAGAGGAAATTCATTTGAGAGCATGATGACAACATGCAATGTCCTCATAGAAAAGGCCACAGCAGAACCTGTGTCTTTATAATTGACAGGTTTTGACCACCGGAGGATACTACTGTTTAAAATGAGAAATGTTCACAAGAGAGGATCATAATGTCAAATAATCTTTTTAAATGCATACAGTTTAATAGTCAAAATTGTAATTATTACTGAGATTGTTGGAAAATGTTTTATTAGGTATTGATTGATATCATTTCTGCTGCTCATTAAAGGATTATGCTGCTGTAATGTTAATCTCATTGTCAACAAAATCCTTAAACCAACGATCTGAGTCCATTCCTCAATGCATCCCATCGTCCGTCTCTGTGCCACCCAGTCCCGAGACCGTCTGTTCCTATAGACATAAACCACCATTTTTCTCAGCAGGCTGTTTTATTTAAAATGTGAAGTACCATCAAGTTTTCTTGGTCTTACTCACAAAAGGAGAATCTTAATCTAGTCAATAAACATTTTATCAGTCTACATCTTTATGGAATGGATGGAATTGCTGATAAAAAATAGCAAAGAGGCTAAAATTCCTGCAACACTTGTATAAAGAAACAACTCTAGTACTATAATAATACAATATAGCAATAAAGGTGTTTCTTTGTGCACTTTGGAAGTGAAGCAGTCCCTACAATAACAAGACTAACAGTTAAAAGTCT